CGTTGTTATGTCCCCCTTTTAATTTCTGATTTTGTTAATTTACATGTTCAAACTCTGTTGTTTGGTAAGTTTGGATAACAGTTTGTCTATCTTTTTTATTTTCTCAAAGAACCAACTCTTTGTTACATTGATTCTTTGAACATCCCTAGCTATCAGAGAAATGCAAATTGAAACAACTCTGAGATACCATCTTACTCCTGTCAAAATGGTTAAAATGAAAAACTCCAATGACAGTTTGTGCTGTAGAGGATGTGGAGAAAGGGGAACACTCCTCCACTGCTGGTGGGAGTACCAACTCATATAGCCACTTTGGGAATCAGTATGGAGATTTCTCAGGAAAATGGGAATCAGTCTACCACAAGAACCAGCAATTCCACTCTTAGGCATATACCCACAAGATGCCCAGTCACCCAACAAGGAAGTCTGATTCACTATATTCATAGCAGCACTATTTGTAACAGCCAGAACCTGGAAGCAACCTTGATGCCTCTCAACTGAGGAGGTGATAGAGAAAACGTGGTACATTTACACAATGGAATCTTGAAACTTGCAGGTAAACGGATGGCACTAGAAGAAACCATCCTGAGGGAGGTAACCCAGTCACAAAAAAAATGCAAACATGGTATGTACTCACTCATATATGAATTTTAGACATGGATTGGGGAGTGCCAGCCTGCAATCCCACTGCCAGAGAGTCTGGGAAATGGAAACTTCATCCAGTGACTGATGGAAGCACAGCTAAACACTGAACTGAAGTCCTGGAATCCAGTGACAGAGAGGGAGGACTGATCCACAAAAGGGTCAATACTGGACTGGTTTAACTCACAGAAACAGCTGACCTGAACAAGGAGGAGCTCCTGGACTCCAGATTGATGGCTGGTAGGCCAGAATGGGACTGATCAAGACCCCCTGAATGTGGGTGTCAGTGAGGAGGTCTAGGCAGTCTATGGGGCCTTGGATAGTAGATCAGAATTTATCCCTGGCACACAAATGGACTTTGGGTGCCTATCCCACAATGATGGTTGCTTTCTCAGCCTGGACTCTTAGGGAAGGACCTAGGCCCTGCCCTGAAGGAAATGACAGACTCTGTAGATCCCCCATGGAGGACCTCACCCTCCCTGTGGAACAGAGTGGGAATTGGGTGGGGGACCTGGTGGGGGAGCAAGGGACAAGATTACATTGTATTTCTTTTGAACTGCTGTGCGAAGAATATCCAAGAGACAGTTTTCTCCATCAATTATTACTTGCTTAATGTACTATTCCTCTATTGTGGTATCATATTCATCCACAAAGTAACTCTGAATTATCTGTATCATTAGGACATGCTTGTCTAGGTCACCAGCTCCAACTACAAAGAGTTTATATTCAGTAATTTAAAGCAAGCCTCTAGGCTCCTACATGTCTCAGGCTCCAACAATAACTCTTAGACCCATGTAGCTGTAATCCATGATCCTGAAATGAGTGGAGCAGTTTCGGTCCTAGCCACTAATGCTTTTCTCAGTCACATTACCTGCAACAAAGCCTTCCTTCTATATGTAACCTTGGTCATGATTTGTTATCACAGCAGTTAAAAAAATAGCTAATAAAGTAGTTGGCACCAGAGAGTGGGCTATTGGTAGTTGCTGACAGGCTTAACTTTGTAATTTTTGTTTGGTTTGAACAGATTGGTTGATTGGTTGTAGCTTAGCTTTTTCAAGCAGGAAAGATGTTTGAACTTTTGAGAAGAAATATGGTGAAATAAGTATGTAGTTCTTAATGGGCCAAACTAATACAGAGAACAAAAGACAGTAGGGCTAAGAACTACTCACTCATTGCTTGTGGGATTGGAAAATGGGTAAAGACACTGTGGAAGTCAGTGTGTAGAATAATAAAACTCTAAAAAAATACACCATATAATCTAGTAATACCACTCCCTGCTATGTACCCAAAGGATTCAATATCCTACTCCACAGATGCTTGGTCAGCCATGGGCATTGCTGTTTTATTCACAATTGCTATGAAATGGAAACAACCAAATGTCCTGCAACTGACAAATAGATAAAAAACTGTAATGCATATACTCCATTTAATGCTATTGATCCATAAAGAAGAAAGAAATCATGAACTTTGCTGATACATGGAGGGAACTAGAAAGATCACATTGTCTGAGGTAACCCAGACATAGAAAGAAGACATCATGTGTTTTCCCTTTCAGGAGACGCCTATCTCAAAATCTTAACACGTGAGTCCATATTCTAAAAACCAAAATGGATTAATGCCAGGATTCTAACCAAAAGGTATCATTCAAACTTCAGAGGAAGGAGACAACCAACATTTTTACCCATTTTATGCTTTCTATGAACCATAACAATGACCAACATGGTATGGTGACCCAAAGGATGAAGTATTGACATGTGTATCCTGGTGTTAACCAGAAGCTCCTTAACTGAAATTAAGGTCCACACACAAGAAGGATACCATGCCATGCTTACCTAGAGAAATACTCAGTGTTAGTGAAATTATGGTTACTAGAGGAGAGTCTACAACTAATAATTTATTAAACCAGCACCAATCTATAAATGTGTCTTTATACTCACAGATAAGTGCCTAGTCTTCACCACTCATCAATGAAACTTCTCTTTCCAAGAGATGGAGACCACTACACAAAACATCAATCAATCAATCAAGCCACAGAGTTGAGGAGTCCCACCCAAATGAATAAACATACAAAATAGTACTACATTTCATAGAACAGTATGTAAGAAGATTTGGGAAGATTGTACAGGCCAGACTTTGCTGTGATATTGTGTCTCCTACAAAAATCAGAAGCAATTTCCCTAGTTCTCACTAACATGATTTGGAAAATACCAAGACTTCAAAACTAAAAAAAAGAACTAAATCAATCAAATAATGTAGAGGGTAGGAGAAATAGTCTTTCCCAAGGAAGAACTCAAATATATATATTTGAGAGAGAGAGAGAGAGAGAGAGAGAGAGAGAGAGAGAGAGCAGGTTGTATACATGTACATAGGAAAACATATGTAAATACATTAATGTATGTAACAATAAGAAAAGAAGACCTGATTTGCAAGAAAGCAAGACAGGGTATGTAGGAGGTTTGGAAGTGAAAAGGAAAAGGTGAAATGCTGTAATTAAAATATCAAGAAATATCTTTATTAAAAAACACTAATTCTATTAACTGGTAAACTAAATAAAAATTTATAGGATTCTAGATATAACTGGATCAGAGAAATTAAACAAGAAAGGATCCCCATTTAAATAGGTCTATCCAAGTTAAGGAGATTGAAACAGCACCAAAGATTTTTAATACTCTAAAATTGTTGAATATAGTTGAATCCATACCAGAATTCTAAAAGACTTTAGAAGAACTATAACCAGTATTTCTTAATTTAGCAGGTAAAAAATTGAAATAGAATGAACACTTTTAGACTCCCTCTGTAAAGTCAGATTTACTCTACTGTGGAAGCCATAAGAAGACTCAACAAACAAAGCTTTAGTAGTATGGTAGAAGTAGCTGTTTTCTTCTGGGGCCTATGACAAGTTCATTCATGGTTTCATGAATAGGTTTTTGGAGCAATGCATGAGTTGCCTGAAATTAAGTTGATTTTAGGTCCAGATAGGTAGGTGTTGGCTTTCCTCAAGATCCATGTGACTATATGGCGGGGGGGGGGCTTACTATTACTTTTCTGTAGTTTTCAACCTTTTCATTTAGATATGGCAATTGATGTCATGTTCCCCTTACATAGTACCTTCCAAATTTATGATGGTTGTCCCTCACAGAAACATCATTTAGATCAATGACACTTTGAAGAACATGTTGTCTTCATCCTCAGCATCTCACCCTGATGTTATAGCATTCAACAAACAGCACTGGTATTAGTTTGTATGCTTTGGCCGTGTCTTGAAAAACACTAACAACTCAAGGGGATTTTTTCATAGATACAGCTAGGTGATTTTAGCTAATATACAGGTCCAGAGGGTGCATTATCCAACTATGTGGGGAACTGCACTTAATACTGTTAGTGTTTCTGTGTATTTTTAAGCAAGCATACAAGATAATAGGTTCGTTATTGCTTCTCAAACATCCTTAGTATTATTATACCCCTTCCCTCTCCCTATTCATTTATTGTTCTCTCTCCTCCTTCCCTGACTCTATGTATTCTTCAATCCCCACCCCTCTCTCTATGCAGTACTCACTTCCTCTTCTCTAGTCAAGCCCCATACTTCTATTTTTCTCTTCATAGGACATGTGTCCTATTTCCCTCTCTGAAATAATATCTCTTTCTCCCACAATGCTCCCTTTCTACTCTCCCTGCTTCTATGGTTACTTAGGTTTATACATACAAACCAAAATGATTTTGTTCTAGCTTCTAAAAATAAGAAAAAAACAGGATATTTGTCTTTCTGGACCTGGGAAACTTCACTTAACTATAATATCTTCCAGTTCTATCAATTTGTTTGCATTTGCAAATTTACCTACAATTGAAAAGAATTGTATAGTTGTACTACATTTTCATCATCCATTAACCAGTTGAAGAGTAACTAGGCTACTTCCATTTCTTTGCTATTGCGATGACAGTGGTAAAGAATATGGCTAAAAAGTACAACTTTAGTGGGATAACAATTCTTATCAACATATACAAAGGAGTACTATAGTTCAATCATATAATATATCTAAGCTTATTGAGAAATTTCCACACTGATATCCACAAGGGCTCTAATACTTTCAAAGCCCACCAACAGTGGATAAAGATTTCTCTCCTTATTCAAGTTCACAATCATTATTTGTCATCTAGAGTTTGGGTCTGAGATTTTCCTTTTGCAGTTTACTCCTTTTGTCTCTATTATTGGTGAAAAACCGAAAAAGGTTCCTATAGTAATTTCTTCGTTATCCATTATTTGTGTGATGAACAAATATTACAAGGTTACAAGAAACAGAACTAATATATTTATCACAAGATACAATTTATGCCTACTTCCCCATCTGCCTGTGTCACTGTGATGAGCACTACTTTCCCAGATAGAACAGTAATACACAGCCTCATCCTCCTCCTGTAGCTCAGAGATCTGCAAATTTGCAGCATTTTTGGAGGTATCTTTGGATCCAGAGACTCTACTGGGGACTCCAGGACCCAGCTGGTTGTTTGAGTCTGAGTAGTAGTGCAGGAAAAACCGAGGAGGACTCCCCTCCATCTGCTGGTACCAGTAAATACTTTTACTACCAACACTGATGCCACTCTTCAGAGTGCAGGTAAGCCTGGCTGTTGATCCAAGAGACTCAGAGATGGAGGGTGGTTGGGTCAATATAGACTGAGAAAAGGAACCTGGAAAACAAGAGGCAACAGTGAAAAGCAGAGCTGAGATGCACATTCTTGGGTGTTTTCACCCAGAGGGATTAACTCAGTGTATGAGTCCTTTGTAAATTCTTCAACTTTTCCCTACCTGTCAAGTAAAATAGAAACATGAAGATGCCAGGAGTCCAAGCCATTGTAGGCACAGCACAGCTTCTTCTGAGACCAGAGTCTTCTATTTGGGCTGTTTCATTATCTCATTGCCAAGGACTGCACAGATAAAGAGGGGATAAACATGCAAATGAGATCTCACTATCTCCTCCCACTGGCTGATTCATATTTTGGGTTCCTGAACCAGCAAGTCAGGTGATGAGAATTATTTTGTTTAGTGAAATATAAAGCAGGTGGTAACACAAAGAGACCTGTGCACAAGAAATTCTTTCAGATCCACAGTAGCACAATTGCTGATTCCTCACAAAAAGTGGAGGTCAAGGTCATCAGGACTCATGTTTGTTAAGGTTAACACACACAGCATCTGTTCTTCACAAACTCCAGAGAGAGACTGAACACACATCCCATAATTGTTCATTATATCAGTTCTTCTGTCTTTTCTTCACCTTGTATTTCAGACACAGAAAAGGAAAACTACAGGGAACATGGTGATGTGTTCTAGTTTAATCATCACTGATGCATTTCTCTGATGAAGGTGGACAGGCAGGGGGAGCATGCATGCAATCAACCTAGGAGAGCTTGTGAATCATCCAAGAGCTAAATATGGGAGAAGAAGCAACTGGGTGGATAGTCATTACATTTCTATTGTTGTTTTTAAACATAGAAATGAAGTTGCTCATATTTGGCTGGGCAAACACTTCTAAAACTTAAAGATAATTGAGTCTTAAGAAAGGAACATTGGTGGATTGATAATTCAACTTCTCAGTAGTGACTGAGAGGACTGAAAGACAAGGTTTGTTTTACAGTATTTGACAAGACATTTGAGAGTTTAATATTTCTTATAGGACTCAATCTTAGATGATTCTGAGGGGGTAGTCAAAAATGCATGAGGGATGGATATCTGAATTTTTGCATCATTGTGTTCTAGAGACACAAGTTCAAGATGTAGGTAAATCAACAAAGTTAGCAGAGAGACAGAGGGCAGGATTCTGGCTAGGGAAATATTATTTTCAATAATAGATACTAATAGATGATACATAAGAAGCTGTGGCAACGTATTTTAGTGATCTGTGCTTAAGAGACAGATATAGCCAGGGTAAGAACAGAGCTCATAGGACTGTCACTACCCCTGCAGTGAAGGAGAAGTCATTCAAAAGAAAATAAGTGGACAAATGATCTCCTCAGGGAGTTTTGTTGGCCCCAGGCCTCTCCATTACTGCATCTGCAAACAAGTGCTTGTTCCTTCGTGTATGTTTCTACTGAGGCTGCCAAGGCTGTTTGTGAACTCTGCTGCAGAAGCTATTCTTACATGACAGCCTGAGGCAGAGATAGTTAGGCTTTCAATAGTGGAAGAGTCCTGGGAGAAATCATTAGTAAAGACCAAGTCCCTTTCTCTGAGAATTCTGCCAGGACAGAAGAACACCATGGGTGGGTGTCCTTGGTGAGCAGAGGATGAGCCCTACCTAAGGCCAGCTTCTTTGATTGAGTGTTAGTGGTGTCATACCACAGTCCCACAGCACCCCCTATTGGCAAAACACCCTTAGTTGCCATAGTCCAGAAACCTCAGTATCCAATTGAAGTCTACTACTCAACAGATGACTGTCTGAACACACATACCCAGATTCTTAGTCTAAATTCACAATGCATACATTCTATCTGCTGTAAGATTGTCACATCCAGAAATAGTCTTTGACACAGTTACAGAAATATCCAGATATTTATTAAAGTGTTAATTCACCCATAGAAGAATGGCAACTATCAGGTTACTTCTTTGGTATGTGATTTGAAATGAATATATATATTTTGGTTACAAAAGCATCCAGATACATACAAATACTATTTAGTTCTAAAGAAAAGTGCAGTTTGTAACATGCAAGAAAATGTATATATATAAAAAGTGCAATGTTAGGAAAAGTGTCACCATGTCATATTTTGTTCATATGTAGAATCTAGCCAATAATATATGTATACTATCACACACACACACACACACACACACATGCACATATATATACAGAATATGTAAAGTATAGTATAACATGAAGAATAGAGAATAACTAAGGATAACTTAAGGGGATGTAGGAGGACTGAATTCAGGTAGTGGTCATGAATATTGAAAAAAGACAAGGTAAATGTTTTTCTAGTTCTAATTCTGCTGAGGAAATTTTGGTTTGGGGATGAATAATTACAAAAATATATTTGATACAAAAATGCAAAATGTAATGTAAAATTTCACAGCTTATGTTCAAAAATGCCTACTCAGTCTATACAGAAGTTTGAGTTCATAGCATACCAAATAAATTATGAGAATCTTTTCACCCACAAGTGATTCATTTGGGTTGGCAAGTATAGAAAGCTGGAAACTACCTAGCCTTTCCTCTTATTGTTTAGGTTGTTTACACCCAAAAGGGGTGCTATTGTGTCATCTAGCTTCTTCTATATATAATCTTATATATTTAGCTTGACTAACAATCAGGGAGTGTTGATGTGGACATGGAGAATTTAATAACTCCCTCTGTCCTGCTCTATCCAAAAACTAGAGAGAATAAGTGCATCTTCCGTAGGCACACAGCAGCCGCATTCATTTTAGGGCTTGGTGCAGAACACTGCATCTGTGACCCTTCATTCCTCTACATACCAACAGCAAACTCCCTTCTCCTCTATGGAGAGCATGGCTGAGGAAGTGATCCAACCTCTGCCAGGTTTCTCACTTCATAGAGTCCTTCACAGTGCTGACTCAAAATAATTCCCCCCACACCCAAAATAATCCTGCAGACCATTTGTCTATCTGTAGTGCTGTCTCTTTAAATGATTTCTATCACTGCCTGGAGGCACAGTGCATATTTCTTTAAGCTCCCTGGATCCTGCTCTCTATAGCTGGGCTCATTCCACAGTCATAGATAAGTCCCCCACCACTCAATTTTTAGTTTAGTGTCTTTCCTTCTCTCAACATTGTTCCCTTCCTTTCTCTGATCCTGTCTTCCACTTTCTTCTCTACATCTCTCCTGTTTCCTCTACAAACATTTTCCACAAACAATACTACCTACACTCGGTTTGTGGAAAATGGTGAAAAAACGATCAATATAAAATAATATAAATTTGCACCACTGGTAAGTTTAGACATGCCTCACAGAACTTGTATTATGTTAGAATAAATCTGTAACACTGTGGTAAAGTTCTCCATAACCTACAAAAGTTAAGATCAAAATTCCTATGCACTTTGACTCAGTCAATAGAACCCAGAATTCCTGACTGAAAATATTTAATCAACTGATAGCTATCTATTCTTGTCACACATAAATGTTAATACCTAGAACTTGTGTTCAACTTCAACAAGTTATCTAAGGGCCGGGCGGTGGTGGCGCACACCTTTAATCCCAACAATCGGGAGGCAGAGGCAGGCAGATCTCTGTGAGTTCGAGGCCGGGCTGGACCGATAGCCTCCAAAACAATACAGAGAAACCCTGTCTCGTAAAAACCAAAAAAAAAGTTATCTAAGGCTATAATGATTAGTTAAAATTTATGTTTACTTCAAAGATTTTATCCTTTTAAGAAATCTCTGAAACAATTTGGTTGTGAAAAGTGTAACATATTTTGAAATATAGATAATGGTAATTGCCACCACTTTAAAAACATGCCCCAGAAATGTTAAAAATTCAAGATTCTTCAGTAAATATCTGATTCCTGAGGTATACCTGTTACTCTGTATAGAATAGAAACATTCTACTAACAGTTTAATGTTGTGAATTTACCCATGCCTCCATTTCCCCAATTCCTCTTTTGTCTCAAGAAGAAGGTTTTAAGTCTGATACAAAAACTATACACAATGATGACAAATATCAAATATATACATGGTCCAAAGGAAATTTTTAATGATATTTTGCAAAGATTGACTAAAGCAGTACAAATAGCAGTAGCAGACACAGCATACTAATTGAATCTCTACCTTTTGAAAATGCTAATATACAATGAAAAAAGGTACTTGGGCCCTTAAAGATAAGATCAGCACCAATGAACAAATGGATTCTACATATAGGCAATATTGAGGCTCTTTATTAAACACTGAGGCTTGGGTAGGAGAAGCCATCTCCAAAGGTAAGAGGAGACATCAAAATACCAAATGCTTTAATTGTGGTAGAAAAGGCCATCTAAGAAGAAATTGTAGACAAAACAGCCCTAGAAATAATGCATCTTCTGGAAATAACTCAAATAGAAAGCCTTGTCTTCTGTATTATGTAGAATATGTGGCAAAGGCAAACACTGGACCAATGAATGTAGATCAACAAGAGATAAACAAGGCAATACTTTAACAACTTTAACATTAGGACATTCCTTGGGAGGTCTTTCAAAGGCCCCCATGTCAAAATTGGTTCAGTAATTCTGAGTCACTATGAAGAACAATCCTCCCCAGAATAATTAAAAAATCCAGTGCCTATTGCAAAAAAAATGGTACTGCTCTGGATGGTGGAATAGCTTTTGAGAATGAATCAAAAATTCAAGAAGGAAACAGAAAAAGTATATTTTGGCAGACTTCTATAAGTGAACAAATACCAAAACTAAGAGCACAAATCAAAAATGTTATTTTTGAAGGATTACTGGACACAGGTAAGATCCCACCATTTTAACACCAGATTCTTAGCATCCTAGTTGGGCTCTTCAAGAGAAGGATGTTCAGTTCTTAGGGACTGTAACCCTAGTACAAAATAAAGCACTAGAAGGTTTGAATTTATAGGATTAGAAGGACAAATAGGAAGGCTGAGGCATATGTGGCTAATATAGCAGTAAATCTATGAGGGCTTGATCTGTTTACGGCAATTTAACATTCCTCAAGTATCAAAAATGAACCATAAACCAACTCATGTTTATGGAAAAATGTTATAAGGCACTATACAAGATAGACACCAACCATCTAGGATGTCCCCAAACAGAATAAAAAGTGCTGAACTCACAGAGGTACCAACAGCCCTAGCATTAAAATGGTTAGCTGACAGTCTTGTCTGGATGGGGCAATGGCCTATGACTTCAGAGGAGCTAGAAGCTCTAGAACTTGGTTCAGGAACAGCTAAATGCTGGACATATTGAAGAATCTACAAGCCCTTGGAATTCTGTATTTTTATT